TATAAGTTAAGAAATATCGGGATTGCAGGCAATCTATTTATGTGGATAAAAGACTTCTTAGTTGGGCGTCAACAAAGAGTACGGGTGAACTGAAAGTTATCTGGCTGGGGAACTGTGCTTAGTGGAGTGCCCCAGGGTACAGTTTTGGGGCCAGTGCTATTCCTCTTGTATGTAAATGACCTTCCTCGTCTCCTATCATCATCAGTCTTGCTATATGCTGACGACGTCAAGATATGGAGAACGATAAGATGTGAGGGTGATAGCTTAGAAATCCAAAATGACATGAAGAAATTATCTGAATGGTCTGAAACCTGGCAGTTGCCGATAAATACTTCCAAGTGTGTTGTGATGCATATCGGTCATCAAGGTACAGATACATACACGATGAATAACACCGAGCTACCTGTCGTCCAGACATATAATGACTTAGGAGTCATCGTTAGCGAAGACTTAAAGACTATGTAGTGGCATTGGACCGTAACCACACAATCTTCAAAGCTGAACACAAGACTTTTCAGAAAATAGAGATTCAATATTTGACGCGGAGAAATACCTTACGATGGAGAAGGTGCGAATGGGGAGTTGAATTGGAGTTGATCGGATGGTATTGCACGGCCATGCAAATGTGGTCCCTTGTATCTTCTAGCTAGGGAACTGTGCTTAGTGGAGTGCCCCAGGGTACATTTTTGTGGCCAGTGCTATTCCTCTTGTATGTAAATGACCTTCCTTGTCTCCCATCATCTGTAAATCTACCAGCGGCTGAATATTACGAAACAACCTTATCATTTTGGTATTCACATATTCGCAAGCGGAATTTACATGGACGTAGAACATGAGGAAGCACAAAACACGGAGTGCTTTCTGTCTCAAACTTTAGTAGTAGGAGGTCTATCGACTTATATTAATCCTTGTAATTTGTAACACTGTGGAGGCCCAATCTCGTTTTGAATGTATCAAAAAAAGGTACGGATATTGCGTGTTCTAGCAGAGAATCCCATTAATTCACTAGTCGCTGAGAGAATCGGAACTCCAGTCGTAAATGATTGGATATAGACTTCTAAACTTTCTCAGATTATCTTTTAAGATGGTCAGTCCTAGGTGGAAAGAAAAGACAGAGTATGTCAATAGTGAGCTCATCGTTAAGTAAACGGTAAACCAATATCAAACTACTTTGGAGAGAAGAGATAAAAGATAATAGTACCGAAACTGCCGTTGATTATACATACAGTTTTAAGGGGAATTTATTATTTTAGTCAGTGTTAAATCGCATCGTAACCTGCAGTAAAATAACGAAATTAGGTTGAGGTGCTTAAGTCTGCCTTCATAAGATGGACCACAGAGACCTTTTAGAATCGTGGTCCGTTACTGTTTAACCCGTTCTAACATATTGGGATATTTGTACGAACTAATGATTGCTTTGTACTTAATTCCTGCTTGTTAAGAATTCCAAACACAATACATTCGTTCGTGCTCATCTAGTTCTATCTGGCTTCAATTACATTGTTTCGGGAATTCATAGCTAGAACATTTATCAGAATGCTTCCAGTTATCTTACATATCCATCTCATAATTGAAACAAGAAGTAGCTCCTTAGATCCCATATTTCAAATGCAGCCTCATAAAATTCGGATATAATACCCTAAGTATTTCATCGTCGAAGTACTGAAAAAACTTTCAAATGGCCCATAAGCCATTGGCAGGGACAGCCTAGCATCCACACGTAGTTTTGAAGCCACTGCTCAACATGACTCCTGGATCGTTATAGTCCATTACTTTGGGCGACACAAATCCACATATTGTGTAGTGATATGAATCGTTACAGTTATTTGATAGCATCACCACATTCTTGTTAGGTGACCTGTAATAAGCACTCACACATTCATGCAACTGGTGTATTCAGGTCCCCTTGTAGTATTGTTCTATCTAACGTCCTGTGTATCGGTCTCCAAATTTTTATGACTAATACAAAGGGTAGAACAGATGACCATGTCACAGTTAATAAGTCATTGAAATAAAGAAAATGAGGACTGGAGATTGTATCTGCGAGAACTCCAATCTTAGCGGATTCACATGCTGATAAAGCCCCGTTTACCCGTAACCACCCTCTCCCATCATTGGGAAAATCGCCTATCCAGTCTATGATTTCACATCGTTTACAAAACCTTACAATCTGAATCTAGGTTCCAGGTGAGATACTTTATCAGAAGCACTATTCAGATTTGTCAAAGTCACATCCACACGAATATTTCTTCTTTTTGTAGCAGCCCAGTCTTCTCTAGTAATGTGTGGATTTTTCAAGCATGATAGGCTCTTTCTTAAAACCATTTTGTCCCCTGGATAAAAGATTATGCCTTCTAATCACCTCAGTTTATCAGACTGAATAATGTGTCTTTCTATTCTCTTGACAATTTGGACTGACAAACACATATCAGACTATACGGCCATGCGTCTAGAAATCACACGCGGCAAAACTTTCGCAATCCTAAGGTGGATATCGTTAGGAACATTGAACATATTTGGTTTGAGATGCTGATATAGTCATAAGACAGTTCCTTTCTCACTAGCCCTAGAATCGAACGACAAGCTGCCCTGGTCGCGACTAATTTTTGGTCATTCCACATCGTCAACCGAAAACACTTTGCTGAAATATTTTGATAAATATCCATCTTTTGCAACATCATTCTTGCCAACATCAATAGATTGTCATTGAACGAGTGTTTTGGGATCCCATTACCTCTCTGAGTTAGCTTCTGCACTGTTCTGAGCCTGTACGGATGAACAAATACTAATGCTTTTGCTTACATCTAAGAAGTTTCTTGAATTGTTTAGTTTTCCATAGACGACAGTCATTTGGTCTACGTGGTACCAAGTATGACACAAACGGAGGAGTCACTAAACCGAACGTGCCTTATTCAACTGATGAGATAGTATTTACTGATCAGTCTGTTGTTGCAGCGCATAACCGAATGGCTGATATGTTTGCTATCCACACATTTAGGCAAGATTTTACGTGATTGCATATTATGTCACAAGCTCTATACATGAGTGACAAAACATTATGACCGCTGTTCGCTATTTAGGTGAGAGATATTCTTGGTGGCATGTGTGATTACTAAGTCTAACAAAAAGATTCTTTGTTTGAACCAAAACGTGTGAATTCGGATGCATGCTATACTAAAGCATGCTCCATTACCGTTACCAGGATCCTACTGTCAAAAGAGTTTACAAATCCTACAGTGGCCATCTCAGTCCAACTAAAATCAAGTGCATTAAAATATGCTGACCTCAGGCATCTATTATTTTTTACCCCAAAGCTTGTTTTGCTCTGAAACAAAGTCATCAAATTAGAAAATTTATTTTCTTGTTTATGTATTTATTCATTTGAACACGTAAACATTTGTACTTGGAGGTATCAAATATGTGTGCGCCATGTAATGATGATGATGTTGTGGAGAGATAGAGAATGAAAAGTGCGGTAGTTACTGTATGGAGCTGTTGCTTCCAACTCATTGGCGCGCTTCAAGCATCAGGCTTCTTTGTCCAGTTTTATTAAGTAGTAGTTGTAGTTTATGGTCAAACTCCTGGCCACTCGGAGTAGATCGGTGGGCCTCACGAGATGTAGGGAGCCCAAAGAAAACTAGTACTTATAAGAGAGACTTTACTCGCCAATTTTACGTCGTCATGCAACTGCAACAGATTCCCATCCATACTTTTGGGTGAGATGGTAGCTAACCTTGAACTTAGATTGGTTTGATGTTAAATTCGAGAAATGAGACGCGCAAAATGGGATAAAGAGGAAGAAATAAGTGAGTATTATGGAAGAAATAAAAATGACCGTCATTTTAGATATGATTTGTCTGGACGGTAGTTGAAGCAAGAATAAGTTTCCAGTAGTAATTATCATTGATCTGTGGAGAGCCCAGGCGCCCAGACAGACGCAGATGGTTTTCTTAGGAGGTGACTCACCAAGCCTTTGACCTTGAGGTCTAATCCGAAGGGCAAAGTTAGAAGATGCAGTCCCATGGTAGTTGGTGATCAACGATGAGTTCATGAGTTATTCGTTCCCTCAGTATCCTGGAGCCCACGTTTTCTAACTCTCTTAGATGGACTCTCTGTATCTATCAACCCGGCTAGAGCGCCGGTCACTCGCTTCTCGTCTTCTCAATTTCGCAGACAACAACCCTGACATAAAAAGGCAGTAAGTAGGACATTCCTGGCAGTGACTGTATACGCATGGCCATGTGAGAGCATTTAGAGCGGGAGAGCAGACTCCCAACACCATCGACCGGATCACGACTTTGTGTGCAGATTGAGCTACGATAGATGACACCGAGTACAAGTGAACAAAGTTCGAAAGTGTCTTTACAGCTAATTATTTCAAAAATTCCACTGTCATGGGACCTACAAACGAAGGACTAAATAATCATATTACCGACTTTGTATATTACGACCACACTTCATTTCCTGCATCTATTCCCATCTTTTCTTAGGTAATAGTACTCGGATAATTCTATGGTTGACGTCAGTCATGAACCAATCAAGTTTTGTCCACTGATGCCCATTGGAATCTATTTCCAAGACTACAAGCATTTATATAAGATCTCCCATGGAGGACGATCTATCCAAACAAGTTTTGGTGAAATTCGTTTGCAAAACCTGGATACTTGAAAACCCACTAAGAGGAGATTTTCTTCACCATTTCGCAACGAGATTTTAGTTCGGCGGTTTCCGTCTTCCTTTTTACTCTACATTTTAGTAACAAATCAGGTCCCACTCGAATATCGGTATTATCATGTCTTCGAGCCCTATTTAACAAAAATCTCGTTATTTCTCAGATCCTAGGATTACCTTAAGTAGTCTGTATGGTGTGCGTTACATATTTTCGTCAGTTTTGTGGCCTGAACTGCTATATGTTTGTCTGGTAGGGTGTTGTGAATAAATGCTCCAACCTCTTCCAAATCATGCTCGTAACTAATATTTGAATCAGGGTCGTTTGATTCTTTCAAATTAATTCAACAGTCTCTTTATACTGAAATCCAGTCACTGAGGCTCCTTTGAGACTCTGAAATATCAGAAGGACAATCACATCTTTTTGTAACTTCACTATTGCAGCACAACAAAGTTTGTTGTTTGAAGTGACGAACACATTTCAAAAGTTGTCCCTACAATGGGGAAGGATGGCCCAAAGCAGAGGGATTACGTTGTGGCTGTGATAGATGCAGTCAAGTGTCCTATTAACATAACATTGTTCCTAATATGCATTTTACTCGTTTATTTAAGTCTGAGGCCACTGTTAAGAAAAAAGAAATCTCAGAAATGTGAAGTCCCGAAAATGGGGAAACGTGATTTCACATTAGAAGAACTTCAGAGCTTCGATGGCAGTGGTGAACATAAAAGAATATTAATCGCAGTTAATGGTAAGATATTCGATGTCACGAATAAGGGACAGGGATTTTATGGCAAGGGTAAGCTGACAATCCACGTTACATTGTTTCAGGCGCACCGTATGCTGCTTTTGCCGGTAGAGATGCATCAAGAGCACTTGCGTGCTTCAACCTTGAAACGAAAGATGACTATGACGATCTTTCTGATCTTACTGCTGATCAAATGCAAACCCTGAGGGAATGGGAACTGCAGTTTTCCGGTAAGATTGTAATTTTTGCAAACCACATTGTCGATATTTTTATGCTTCGATTTTGTATCATCTAATTACTAATATAATTTCTCTGCATATCCGGCTGTGTTTGGCAACCAATTGTTAGTCATATGAACTTGTAACAGATAGACTGTTGTATCTTTCGTGTATTTCGCTTTCAGTTCCACAAAAATTTATTACCAAGGTGTGTCAATTATTTGCTGAATTTCTAGTCGAATAGCGACACAACTTCACTTTTCTGCAATCAAATTTTCCAAATTTAAGGTTAAGATGTCTCAGTATTTGCTGTATGCAAACATCAATCCAGTTTAGTCTATCGCCAGTTAACCCTCGTGATGGAATATAGGCTGCCCACCACAATTCTCCATCGAACTTTGTCCTGGGCAACTCTTCACATTTGCTACTCACTCCTTAGGTGTCTGCCTCCAATTACCGGCGTAATGTGTTACTTGGCCTTCTGAATTTCCTTTAGCCTTCAGGATTCCAAGTTAGTGTTTGCCTCGTGATGCAGTTTGGTGATTTCCGCAACGTATATCCCATCCACCTCTACCGTCTTTTCCTAATTCCCTATTCAGTTAGAAGCGCACTTGTTCCCTCGCACAGCAGGCTATTACTGATGGTATTAAACCAAAGGACATTGAGGGTCTTACTTAGACAAATGTTTACGAATACCTTTACTTTTACATGATAGTTGTAGTTCACCAAGTTCCAGCTCTGTACAGTAAAGATGTCTTGAGTTTTACATTAAACATTCTGACTTTGATATTGGTTGCTGCTACACCGTTTGTATTGGCCTGCATTTGTTGATGTGTGTGGAGTAGAGAGGCTATGTCATCTGCGAAGTCCAAATCGCGTAGCTACATGCAAGCTGTCCATTCTACTCCGAGTTTCTTCTGGGATGTGGTGGTCCTTATTATTCAGTCAACCACCAGAAGAAAGAGTAAGGGTGAGAGTAAGCAGCCTGATAATGTCTGGTAACAGTCCTAACTTGGAATGCATCTATCAGGTGTCTTCTATGCACGACTTTGCAGTGTAGTCCGCCATATGAATTCGTGTGGTGTTAACGATATTCTCAGGTACACCATAATGACGAAAGTTTCCATAACGTTCTCCTATTCACACTGTCAAATACTTTCTCATAATCAATGCAGTTGGTGTATAGTCATGAGTCCAGTTCAACTGATTGTTCGACAATGATCTGTTGTGTCGTGATTTGGTCTGTGCACGACTAATCCTTACGGAATCCAGCTTGTTGATCTCGAAGTTGAACGTCTACCGAAATCTTTCATGTGGTTCGGCAACGCACTGTTAAAAACCTTTCCTGATGCTCAGAGTTTCAATAGAGACCTATTCCTTATGACGGTGCTTGTTGTGGTCCAGAACCTCCTGACACGTTAAAGTCAATGCTTCTTTGATCCCTCTCCTGTTGTCTTCCATAGTAGTTTCGCATTCTTCGAGTAATTCTTCCAAGGCTCGAAAATTATTGCTGAGAGTTATCTTGAATTCGTCGAGCTTGTATCTCGAAGGAGGGCTGTATGAAGCCTTTTTAATGCTGCTTATCCAGTTGTCCGGTGCTTCTTTAGCTTCAGTTCCATCTTAGCCACAGCCAGGTGGTGATCTAAAGATATGTCAACTTCTCTCCTGGTTCTCACGTCTTCCATTGTCTTTCTGAAGTGTTTTAGTCACCCCGATCTGGTTCTCTGTAGTGTGGTCGAGTGAGATCCATGTAGCTTTGTGCATATGTCTGTGTGGCAATGTTGTACTACCCATAACCAATTTGTAAGTTTCTCACCATTCTTGTCCGTTTCTCCTAGTTAGTCCATGTCGTCTCATGATATCTTTATACCTGGTGTCGTCCATTCCGACTTTAACATTTAAGTTTCTCATCAGAATGTTCAGGTTCTTTGCTGTGTGTTTCTTCGCGATCGATTGCAGCCTTCTGTAGAACCGATCTTTATCATCGTCACTAGTATAATTAGTGTGGGCATAATGTTGAATTATATATATAATATGTCTTAGCAGCAAGCCACTACATAGGTGAATATATTGATTGTTTTGTGTTATGTGATTATGTCAAACCAATAAGAAATCCTTATTATAAGTCCAGAAATAACTGACATTCGTCAACATGCCGCATCTGACGCTGATGAAATTCATATCAGCATTACTGCACATCGGTCATATAAACTGCATTGTTTGAATTTAGAGTTTTATTATCATTATTAATAAGCACATTAGCGAACATAGCTTCACAAGGAAGAATAGATTCAGGATATTGATTTGGTGTACTTGAGTTGATAAGATCTAGTAGTTGTTTACTCAAACCAAGCTAGCTTTATATTACATCCACGATAGTTATTTTTTAGATTGACATAGCTGTTAGGTAAGTAGAAATCACACCTCAAAATTGTCGTTTGTGTATACTGTGTGCTGAAGAGTAGGCATACGATATTCAAAAACCCTTTTGTTTCAGTAAGACTAGATAAAACTTTTGTCTTGTACTACAGAGCGTTATGATCATGTTGGGCGACTTTTGAAGCCAGGAGAGCCTCATCGGGTTTATGAAGTCAATGATGGAGAAGATGACGTTGGAACCAACCATGTTCAAAGTGCACTTAAGAAAAAAGTAACTTGAAAGTGTCTACTTCTGTTCTAAGTATCTTATGTATCTAAACTTATAATATGATTTTCTTATCTGGACTGATCATCCATGATGCCTACATTACAACTCTCAGTTATTATTTTTGACTTGGTTTTCGATCCGTGCAATAATAAAACCGTTAAATGAAACACTCATCCACACAAATATGTGCACCATGGAGTGGATCTCTTAAAATTCAAACATAAATCTACATTTCCGGGTATTTGTTTATTGTATTTTGTTCTTATAATTACAAATCATTTTGAATACACTATATGTTTGACCTGGTTGCTACTGCTTAATCATAATGTAAATATTTGTAACTTTCCACAAATATACATGTTAAAAGCTTATTTTCATCCCAGAGCCTCATTTTTCGTTGCTCGGATTCATGTTACCAATACTCAGCTGGTGACATGATTATATCTGGCGTTCAGGCAAGTTTCGTTCATAAGCCTCTACGATCATTTTCAAAAGTTCATCAATTAGGTTTACTAAAAAACCTTAAATTAATGCATAATAAACCATTTATCTGGTCAAGAGACATAGACTTATGTGGAAAAATGTAATCAACCAACTTTACTGTTATATGTAGTCATTTTACCACTGATCCCGTCTATGTATAACGCTCGTTCATTTTTAACCGCCGACCTGGACCTGAATTATGCCATTTTATGCACCAAATGGATCTTCCGTCCTGATGGTCGACAAATTCATCTATTAAAACTGACCAGTCAGTAAATGATTCAAAACAGATTTGATATTCTGTAATTAGCGAACTTGATTATTTAAAACAGAACCAAACATTTTGGCAGGTTGAAAAAGATGTTACGTATACTATTAAGTAAGGCCAATGTTGATGTTGGCAAGAAAACGTCGGAAATGACTGGTAATGTGAAGTAGATGTAACTAACAATTATGAGACACTATACAATCATGATGGAGATAATGAGTTATTCTATAAAGCCGAAAATCAAATCAATGCGTAAACATCAATAATATTATGCAAAAAAAACAGAAGTATTCCTGTACAACTCTTTACTTGTACAAGGAGAGGCTTGCCACACTTTCCATCTGCCCACATAGATTAGGTCTAAAACGTTTGATCGTAGTAACCTATACAAAGCGAAGTATAGTTGATGTTTGTTCGTCAGTTATTTTGAATGCTTTAGAAGATATTCACATCGTGTCCACTATTTATTAAGTGCCTAATAATTATATATGTGTAAATTTACCACTTATCAGGCATAGTCTCTCGAGAACATGTTCAGAAAAAAACCGTTAAAGCACTTTTTCAGTCCTTTTTGTATAAATGCCACCAAACTTATGTTCAAATTGGTAAGTGGGTATGGAAGTGGCGTTAGAAAGGTGTTGATCTACTTTTAAGTGGTGTCATATAATGAAGCCAGTTAACCTGCAGGGAAGAGTTGTTTGTGCACTGCTTTATTTCACACAGTGATCGGTATGAGGATTACCCTAATAAGGTTAGTCGTCCAAACTATCATTACTTAAATAAGAAAATACGTAACAACAGTATACTGAGTTAGAAATGGTGGTAAACAACGTTGAAGTATTAGTATTAGACGAGTCAATGCTACCGTTCCCCATATTTACAGTTTGTAAGAAAGTCTATCAAAATTTAGTCTGCTTAATAGTTTTGTAATAAAGTGTTTAAGAATTCTGTTTGCAACTGCTCTGTGTTTATTCAAAGATAAATTTCTTAAAATAACGCTTATTTAGGTGATAAAGGTAAATTGATAGTGGCCGCCGATTGATTAGTTCGAATATAATTACATTCGTTCTCAAAAGCTGGCTTATTCAATAACAAGACGTCATGTTATTAGTAGTCGTTTATGTAGATTTTGATTCATTCAAACCTGTAAGCGTAGTTCATTTTGACCTTTAGTATTTGTGAAAGCTGCAAACATTTTTTAAGTAAACTATATTCACCTATCTCAAAAATGAACTAACTGAAATGACCAAATAATGATCTGACAAAAAAGTAACGTAAAATTTTCATTTTCAATAATCTTGATTTATTTAACGTTCGCAGTTACTAGAGTGTGTTTGTCCACCTTGTACTTGAATGTTTTCTGAAATCATATTTGGTCATGAAAATAATGTATTCATAGTAGCCCAATCAGTAGAAAAACATTTCTGATGTTTTGTTACTTTGTCAACTGAAAAATAAACAACTCGTCCAAGTATAAATACTGTAAGGCACAGGTCACTAGTAATTACAATTAAGTCTAAGCTTTAGACTGTCATTATATGTAGGTATTGATGAGGTCAGTTGTATTTATGATGTTACGCACCACTAATGCGTTAGATTGACAAATAAATCTCATTTTTCTGGATAAATGAAAACGGAGTTTTTTCAGCTTATCGAATATTTCATAGGTGTACTTTGTATGCAAATGCCCTGTGATGGTTTGTTCAAGATCACATGTTTAAACGTAGTTTGCAGAAACAGAGTACCGTTAGAATTATAGGTAAATAATTCAAACTAGATTTTTCGATTTATGTTTTCTTTGTTCAAAGTATAAATTTGGTTATTTATAAGGCACTTCTCTGAAATTGATAATCAATATTTTCGTCAACATAGTAGCGATTTTATAAAGTAGTTTATTTTAAAAATTAAAATAACCAAACATAGATTTAGATAATATAATAGACATATGAGGTTTTGTTGTAAACAAAATGTAGTGTTCAAAGAACAAGTGATTTCTCAGTTTAAATCTTCCAAATAGTTCATTAACAATATTTTTAAGGAGAAAGTGTAATTATTAAGATGTAACAAATACAGGAGGACATCATTTGTTTTTTTGTTTTACGAAGTTCATTACTAAAACACTGGTTGACATCAATAGACAGTATTATAAGTCTAAAAGTGTTTAGTCTATTATTCAGTCACCGCCATTGGCATATATATATAGTTTTCACCAATACCATGTTATTTAGTTCCTAATATTGATCGAATTGTATAGACAGTGGTGCTACAGTATTTTAAATAATGGTGTGTGGACATTCCACCAGGTCAGTTGTGGTAACATACGTTTGTCTAACTAAAACTTTGTCAGATAAAACCACTGAAGTTCATTTAATTGAATGACTATCTATTTTTGATTGACAAACCCTCTAAAATATCATGTGAATACTAGTCTATTTGTACGCTAGCTTTCACTTCCATTCTTCTTTACATCATACACCGTAGATTGTTGCAATTACTCTGTTCACTCAACTTCATTATTTTGTGTTAATCTCATTTTGGATTGCTTCATTCTTTATTCATTGTAGTTACTCTGTTTTGAATGTTCTCATATCCTCGGTAATATGCAGTCGCTTTTCCTTTCTAATATTTCGTTTCATGCGGCTTTACTTCCAAAGAAACAACAACATTCAACCATCTGAGTTGTTTGATTTACATCAGGAAGAAAGGTGTACGTGACTGTCGTCTACAATGCGGTCTGTGAGCAAGTGGTAAGAGTCAGTAATTTATGAAGTACAAGTTGGAATAAATACAGACTAGATAGAGAAACCAATAGTAGAACTAGGTCACATACGTTCGATAACGAAGACTAAGTAATCTTTGTCTAGATCACAACGCGAAACATGGATTCAATCTATGTTATATTGGATTGTACGTGGAAAAGTCAAAATAATACTAAGAGTATTTATAGGTATCAATGCCAAGGTCGGGCTTGATAGTTTCAAATAAATTGAGCATTGGGTAGAAAGCCGGTAATATATATTTTTTCATGGTACCCTAATATGTAGAAAAATTGTATTCCTGAGATTTCGTGACTTAATGCGTGCCTCTTCTTCAGAGTAAACAAATAGTAGATATTTTCCCTGAAGAAACGGCTTACATTGAGTCACGAAACGTCAAAAGTACGACTTTTCCACTCATTGAGATTTAATAGAAAAATATACTTATTACTAAGATTACTTGTTTGAAAGTTGACGAAACTGGGGAGGATTTACGCTTCTATGCAAAGTTCCTATAAAATCACAAATTATCGTTGAGCCAAGCTGAGAATTGAGTTCACGAATATTTAGTGATAAATGAATTACTTAAACGAATAGTTCTGTAAGTCTTTGGTATTCATGTCGACCTTACTAGTTTGACTGGAAACAATGCTAGCTAAAACCCCTTGGCCAAGTATCCACATCAAATCGCATTAGCGTATACTATTCTAACCATCTCTTACCATAGCTATTCAGTTTAGAGTACACACACATAGATCACTGTTCAAATATATCCTCGGACCCATGCATTAACAAGTTATGGTGTGATTGGCGTTGGTGCATAAGAAGAGGCTCAGTGCGGCTGTGATTTATGGCTGAAGGTTAGGGTTATGAATCAGAGTTAGCGTTCTTATTACGAACTAATATGAGCAATAATGCCAAGTAACGCTATCTTGTCGAAATTGACATAGTAGAGAGCATTCTTCCCGCGAATATCAACGGCTGTCTGCAAGAACCGGCCTTCAACTTATAGGCAAAATGGAAAACCTATCATCACTTACGGTGAAAGATGCTTTTAACTTAACGTGAGTTTTCGTCTTTGCAGATGTTTCTGTGACAATTATTGGTACAGACCTACAACAACATCATAATCTACTCATCGATCCGAGCAGACGGGGATACTAAGTTATCTGTTTGTGGAACCTTATTTTCTGGTTGTAGGTTGTGCTCAGTCACGGTTATGCGTATAATCGATTCATACTTTCAACGAATACTTAATGAATACCCCGAAACTTACAAGACGCTGCCAAAATTACTGTGTGTAGCCAACAGTGTTACACACCCCATCACTACTACGGGGTCAACTGTATACTCGGAAGTGCTCCGACTAGCTCTCGAAAAGATGGGGTTGTTCAAAAACGAATTCGAGCTCACTATAGAATTGGGAGTTATCCGACTATTGAACAGTTCGTGGGCGGTTTGCGTACGCGTGGTCTCTGAAAAGAACTGCAAAGATGAGTTTACATGATAATTATCTGCAAATGTACACGAAAACCACTGCAATCATTTCCCTTGCTACACATCCACTACCAGAAGGCTACATTATAAGGCACTGTAGTGTCTGGTAGTGTGTCAGTCCCACATGGGCTTTTCAGGCCTACGGACAGATTGATTTGTAGTGCGGCATCGAGTCGCGGTTGACTATGATCACCACTACGGGAAGACTACATGCCAGTTAACCGATAAGATCCCCCGTAAGCCAAATAGCAAAAGGCAGTTGATGGCTGTAGTCGAGATGTATTTGTTGGCGATCTCGTGGTATCGAAAGAATACTGAGATCGTACCAGGTTACAAATGTGGTTACTGAGTGTATCCGGATTCGTGTAAGTT